AGATTGGGTTCAGTTCAACAATAACAGGGCATGTATTTCTTTTGGAGTAAATTCTTAAATAATGTAAGTGGTTAATAGATTACCACGGAAGCCAGGTTCCCTGGTCCAAGTATCAGATCCACCCTGAGCTGTGTAGCCTTCGGCACATTACTTGCCCCCATCCTTCCTTCCCTCTCTCATTCACTTGGGGTCAGACTGGCATCACGGACTGACATGTCTCCCTGTCTTGCCTAGCAGTCCTTCCATTTTCTCTTAACAGGCATTTCTCCTAATAAAATTGTTTCATGTTCAATTCTGTCTTGGCATCTGCTTCTCAGGTGACCTGGATTAGCACATTCAATAACTAAGTTTCTGTTCATTTGTGGGATCAAGGTTTACTTATAGATGATTTTATTCAGATGTTTAAAGAACATTTTCTATTTTTACAAAAGAATACTTCTGTACTGTTAAAAATAAATTTTTCCTTAGGGAAATACAAAGCGTGTGGTTTTTTTAGAAAGCTGTGTCATGTAATTAAATCAAGCATACTCCTGTTGAATACTGTACATTTGTAAAACTTTATAGTTTTTAAAGCACATTTGCGTATAGTCTCTAATCTTCATAACAACCCTCAGATTAGATACGGAAAATTTCATTATTCCTTTTTTTATAGATGAGGAAACTGAAATTCAAAGATGAATTTTATTACTTTTCATTTGCATAGGCTGAATAATTCACAAAATTATAAGGGTAGAGATTATTATGTCTAATGTATGAATGACAGTAAATGAATTAATTTGCCAAATGATAGGAAATGACAGAACTAACTTTGCACTAGACTTGAATTAGTTTTCTGATTCCATGTCTGATGATCATTCAATTATACACTATAACTTTCTCAAGAAATACATGTCTTGATTTCACCAAGCCTAGTATAATAGAGAAGTTAAAACCAAATCCTCTATTTATATGAAATGTCCAGTATAGGCAAATTCATAGAGAGAAGAGTAGATTTGTGGGGATGGGAGAGAGTGGGAATTGGAGAGCAATGACTAGTGAGTATAGCGTTTCCTTTGTGGATGATGAAAATGTTCTAAAGTTAGATAATGTTGATGGTTGCACAACTCTGAATATACAGAAAAATCCATTGAATTGTATACTTAAAAGGGTGAATTTTATGGTACAGGAATTATGTCAGTAAAGCTGTTATAAAAGCCATAATAATCCTGGTTTGTTTTGATCAATTTTTAAACTATAAAATGCTGGTTTTTTATAGGTTAGAAACAAAGTATATAGCAGACTATTGTCACTTCATTCTCCAAATAGTTATGGAACCAGATCACCACAGGAGTTATTCAAAGCATCAGGATTGACACAGGTAGGAAATTTTAACAGTCACTGTTTTTGTGTTTCTTTTATGTCTCAGACTTTGCTTAAAAGTAAAACTCCCTTCTTATTATTACTTTATTTTGATTATTACAACTGCTATTCTTCCATTCAGATATTCTTCCATATCCTTCAGTTATGGGCATATATTATGAATTAATCTTTCCTACTCATTTTCTCTTATTAAAATATAATGTGGGTTTTTTTCTTAATAATAAAAATAATCCATGCACGAGGTTAAAAATGGGAGAATACAGAAGTCACCATGGAAAAAAAGGGAAAGCACCATTCCTTCAGTCAGCCAAAGCTAACTAATGCTCTGGTGCATTTTATCCTCACCAATATCCCAACATCTCTTGAATTTGTACTGCTAAAATCCAAGGAAAGGCCATTGTTTTTGCTTTTCAGGATTGTCAGTAGTTTCCTAATTAGGGTCTATGCCTGGCTGTCTTCTCCCTCCTATATGCATTAATCTTAATCTTAAGTGTTGTTCATGTTCAGAAGCCATCCCCAGCTCTTTCCTATTGCTTGTGGAATAAGCTAATTTATTTAATAAAATACATTCCCTGTTATCTGAGGAATAAACTTTATTCATTAAAGTACTGATTCCTCAATTTGGCACTCAAGAACAATTATAATTGGGCTTTTATAAAATCTATGTACCCAGACTAATTTCTCACCTTTTCCCATAAGTATATTATTTGCTTAAGGCACACAGTAACTTCAAAGTTGACTGTTAATTTGTCAGCAAACTTCTCTGACATACTCATACTGTGTAAAGTAACTAGAAGCCTAGGTGCAATGAGGTGATTAAAAGAAAATAATGATTATGTCTTTCTTTAAAAGTTTTGTATCTGATGTAGTAAAATTTGTCTACCATTGCTCTATAAAGGCAGTTTTCTGAGGACAATGGAATGTTTATTTAAAATTGGTAGACCATTCTAGTACACTAAGATACTGGTTTTTTAGTATGTGTGCTTATGAAAATTGCATTTATAACAGAAAATTTTCAAAGTTGGACAGTCCTAGAATTAAAAATTTTAATATATTCAATAAAATATTTAATTGACGAAAAGGATTCTTATGAAGACCTGTTAGACCAGCGGTTCTCAACCTGTGGGTCGTGTCCCCTTTGAGGGTCGAACGACCCTTTCACAGGGGTCGCCGTGTACTCGTATGTGGGCGAATCTGCATGTGGGCCTGGAGACAGATAGAGGAGCAGTGTCTCGGTTCCTAAGACTGTAGAAAATATGTGTTTTCCGATGATCTTAGGCGACCCCTGTGAAAGGTTGAAAACCGCTGCTTTAGACAGTAGTGTAAAATTTATGTGGAATTTTCTGTTCCTTTTCTAGAGACCAGTTTTTAAAAGGAAGTGAATTTAGGAAATGTATATTGATTTTAAGTCCTTGTTAAGCCTTTTTTTTTTTTTTAAAGTTGCAGAAAAGGAGTTTATTAGAAGAAAAAATACATTTCAAAGAAACAGAAGCAGGCCCGAACAGCAGAGAATGGCTCAAGGGTCATTATTAGAAAAGAAAGTATACTCCAAAGAGTTTGGAGCAGGCCGAGCAAAGGAAGCTCAAAAGGCCCAAAGGGGCCCAGGGCTAGGGCCAGGGCATCATTATTAGGAGAGAAAGTACGGGCCCTGATCAGAAGCAAGGCTCAAAATGCTCAAAAGACCAGGCTTTTTAAAAGTCCCATTTTTATCAGAAAAGGATAGAGAGGAGAAAAGATTATGTTAGTATTGTCAGTAATAATTACTGATTTCTAAGAGATATAGACTAATTTTGATTTTGTTCTTTTTTTTGTTCTTTATTGTTTAGAAATGGGTGAACAGAGAGATATCAAATTTTGACTACCTAATTCAAATAAATACAATGGCAGGACGAACCTATAATGACCTTGCACAATATCCTGTGGTAAGTTTTACATAAATCTCATAAATATAGAATTGCCTTTCAGTTTTATAATACACACAAATATATGGGCATGATAGTTATTTTTTATTTTTTAAGATATAAATTAATGGTTTTGCCTTTCTGTATATTTTCTATCCTATTTTCAAGAAGTATATAAACATGAAGAATAATTAAAAAATAAAAGCCTTTTATTTTTCTTTCACTTCATTGAAAATATTCCAGTGAAATTACAGGAAATATTGCTCTGGTTATTGAAATACAGATAAATAAACATTTGCAACAGGGAGAAATATTTTTAAAGACTATTCTTTTTTGGCTTTAGATAAGCATTTAATATTAGATATGGGCATAGTTGCTTTTCTAGGAAGAATGTCTAAATTATACATTGTGTTTCTTAGTTTCCCTGGATTTTACAAGATTATACTTCAGAAGAGTTGGATTTTAATAACCCGTCAGTATTTCGAGATCTTTCCAAACCAATTGGGGTAGTTAATGATAAAAATGCTAAAACTATGAGAGAAAAGTAAGTGCCTTTTATCATTTTGAAAGATGCCCATTGCTTGTTTGAATTTGTGTTCATTTCTATGGCCAACCAAGTGTTACTCTTTTTAAATATACACCTACTTTTGATAATCAGAATCTGATAATTCCTTCACTAAGTTTTCTTGAGAGTATATCAGTTGTCCTTCAAGTATCTTAACTGCAGTGTCTTTATTTCCCTTCTTTACCAAATTTAGATTGATATTTAGAATTTCTTTTCACCTTATAATAAATATGTGCTAAAGGGTAATAGGTTCTTGAAATTTTCTTCCCAGGTATTTTAGACTTAATAACCTAATAATCTAACATGTAAAAATATCCATCTGATATAATATTTTAGTAAATATAAAATTAATAATACTAATCTATGGGCCGGCCGAGTGGCGCATTGGTTAAGAGCTGGCTTGGGACGCCAGNGGCCCTAGTCAGCCTTTTAATAGGGATTTTATTTTCTTTCTTGAATGACTAGCGAATTCAATGGATGTAAGTCTCATTCATTTTAAACTGAAAAGCCAAAACACTTTCTTTCATAGACTATAAATAGTGTTGAGAGTATTCACACTTTCAGGTCCCTTATTTCTCCATTTCAACATAGTAAATAGAATTTTCACTTTTAAGAAAACATTATTAAGTTTGAATTTTTTTAAAGCTTTACTTTAAGGGTTCCCATATTATCAGGTAGGTTTGTGAGACTTGTAAAGCTTCCTCACAGAAATCCATCGGAAACAAAATTAGACTTAGTAATTGTTATCCTGGAATAACAAAATGTCTCATCCTGGAAATGAGACATATGTGAAATATCTAGGACCAGAGAGTAGCTAGCCTGAAGAATTTACTTGAACAATTCTCTGTGAGTAGCAGGAGTTCCCATTTCTATACTTAGCATTTAAAAGTCACCTGAGCCACCAGAAGACTGTCCCATTCCAATTAGTCCCTTCAATACATATAAGTTATATAGTCATCCAAATACAAGATGACTTTAAGTAATACTGCTTAGTATTATCTCTAGTTCTATTGTCTGTGGATGCTATAATGATGATGCTCTAGTTTAAGTTGCTTTTGAAAAGTCTCATTTTACAGTTTAAGTATCAGTCATAATTAGCATTTCTAATAATTATTTATGAAACCACTAATGATGCAGTCTTTTATTCACAAATACATATTTCCCTGGGTTAATTCATGTCTCCCAAATATAACTAAAACAACATTACCAGTATTGCTGCATGTTTGAACTGACCTCTTTGAAATGGCGAGTAGTATTAAAGATTCACCATATTTTGTTTTAGTCAGTCATACACAATTAAAATGTAAAAGATGTTCTTTTTGAAACTGAGTTATTGCGTAATAAGAATATTTGGACAATATTTACGTAGATTAACATGCAGTCTAATATATTTTGTAGATAACGCAAATACACTTTATTGGATACTAATTTTACAGACATGAGATTTGTATTTGAATATGGTGTTCTTTCCACTTACAATACATTGTTGGATGTTTGTTGTTTGTTTGGTTCGTTTTTGTTTTTACAGTGATGAGAAGAAAGAACAGGATCAAAAAGAAAAATTGGTGTTGTCTGTAGACTGTGAACTCATTACAATAATTGATAGAATTCCTGGCAGATTCGAAATCACTACTCAACACATTTATTTCTATGATGGCTGCATTGAAAAAGAAGATGGTGAGGAGTTCTGGGGGAATAATTTCTGTTGTTTAATAGTTAAGTATCCAGTTTGTCAATCATTAATGAGAAAAAAAGCAATAAGATAGGACTATGGAATTACATTCTATCATGTAAAAGGGGAAATGGAAAGTCAGTGTGTGGGATTAAATTTATTATTTAACAATGTATTGAAGAGAATGCTTTTGTTTTGTTATCACTGTTTTTAAAAGGTATGGCTAGAGGGGATTGCTATAAACTTAAGTTACAAAATACATCTTAATTTTATTTGTATATACCCTTCTTTCTGGAGCTTCTTACCTAATCCTTTATCTGAAAAGAAAAGGACATTTAAGTCTACTATGTCAACTAAAGACAAAAGAAATGTTCCTAAGATTAATATTCAGAATTATTCTCTAATGGGAAGGAAAGAGAATAGCCATAGAGTTTTAAAATAGTTTTAAGAGAAATTATTTAAATGTCCAGTAAATTTAAGAAATGGTTTTTATGGTACAGAAATAGAATTGCTTTTCCCTAAGTGCTGTTTTTGTCAGGAACTAGGAAATATTTTCTGCATAGCACAAGTAACTTTGTATGGTACATTAGTCTCAAGATTTCTTCTGTTTTAAGGAGTAGGCTTTGATTTCAAGTGGCCTCATTCTCAACTTCGAGAGATTCACCTGCGGCGTTACAATTTAAGAAGGTCAGCCCTTGAGATTTTTCATGTTGACCAATCCAACTACTTTCTCAATTTCAAAAAAGAGGTATGTAAGATGCCACCTTTCTAGAAGCCCCAAACTATTAGCTTGAAATAATTTTCCAGTAGGTGAGCTGTAATGAAATTATGGACTCTACTCTTTCAAGTCAGAATATTAGAGGGAAAAGTATTTCCTTTCGGGGCTAAGCAGTTAAGAATTTGTGTTGGGATTTATGTTTGAGTGTTTAGAGAGTGCTTGTTTCCAGTTTTAATATAGGAGTAGATAGTAGAAAATTGAGTGTTAGCCAGTAGGTACCTCACAGTATCCAATTGTGAAATAATATGCAATATATGTGATATGATTGGATTTATAAAACTAGATTGGGTTCAGTTCAACAATAACAGGGCATGTATTTCTTTTGGAGTAAATTCTTAAATAATGTAAGTGGTTAATAGATTACCACGGAAGCCAGGTTCCCTGGTCCAAGTATCAGATCCACCCTGAGCTGTGTAGCCTTCGGCACATTACTTGCCCCCATCCTTCCTTCCCTCTCTCATTCACTTGGGGTCAGACTGGCATCACGGACTGACATGTCTCCCTGTCTTGCCTAGCAGTCCTTCCATTTTCTCTTAACAGGCATTTCTCCTAATAAAATTGTTTCATGTTCAATTCTGTCTTGGCATCTGCTTCTCAGGTGACCTGGATTAGCACATTCAATAACTAAGTTTCTGTTCATTTGTGGGATCAAGGTTTACTTATAGATGATTTTATTCAGATGTTTAAAGAACATTTTCTATTTTTACAAAAGAATACTTCTGTACTGTTAAAAATAAATTTTTCCTTAGGGAAATACAAAGCGTGTGGTTTTTTTAGAAAGCTGTGTCATGTAATTAAATCAAGCATACTCCTGTTGAATACTGTACATTTGTAAAACTTTATAGTTTTTAAAGCACATTTGCGTATAGTCTCTAATCTTCATAACAACCCTCAGATTAGATACGGAAAATTTCATTATTCCTTTTTTTATAGATGAGGAAACTGAAATTCAAAGATGAATTTTATTACTTTTCATTTGCATAGGCTGAATAATTCACAAAATTATAAGGGTAGAGATTATTATGTCTAATGTATGAATGACAGTAAATGAATTAATTTGCCAAATGATAGGAAATGACAGAACTAACTTTGCACTAGACTTGAATTAGTTTTCTGATTCCATGTCTGATGATCATTCAATTATACACTATAACTTTCTCAAGAAATACATGTCTTGATTTCACCAAGCCTAGTATAATAGAGAAGTTAAAACCAAATCCTCTATTTATATGAAATGTCCAGTATAGGCAAATTCATAGAGAGAAGAGTAGATTTGTGGGGATGGGAGAGAGTGGGAATTGGAGAGCAATGACTAGTGAGTATAGCGTTTCCTTTGTGGATGATGAAAATGTTCTAAAGTTAGATAATGTTGATGGTTGCACAACTCTGAATATACAGAAAAATCCATTGAATTGTATACTTAAAAGGGTGAATTTTATGGTACAGGAATTATGTCAGTAAAGCTGTTATAAAAGCCATAATAATCCTGGTTTGTTTTGATCAATTTTTAAACTATAAAATGCTGGTTTTTTATAGGTTAGAAACAAAGTATATAGCAGACTATTGTCACTTCATTCTCCAAATAGTTATGGAACCAGATCACCACAGGAGTTATTCAAAGCATCAGGATTGACACAGGTAGGAAATTTTAACAGTCACTGTTTTTGTGTTTCTTTTATGTCTCAGACTTTGCTTAAAAGTAAAACTCCCTTCTTATTATTACTTTATTTTGATTATTACAACTGCTATTCTTCCATTCAGATATTCTTCCATATCCTTCAGTTATGGGCATATATTATGAATTAATCTTTCCTACTCATTTTCTCTTATTAAAATATAATGTGGGTTTTTTTCTTAATAATAAAAATAATCCATGCACGAGGTTAAAAATGGGAGAATACAGAAGTCACCATGGAAAAAAAGGGAAAGCACCATTCCTTCAGTCAGCCAAAGCTAACTAATGCTCTGGTGCATTTTATCCTCACCAATATCCCAACATCTCTTGAATTTGTACTGCTAAAATCCAAGGAAAGGCCATTGTTTTTGCTTTTCAGGATTGTCAGTAGTTTCCTAATTAGGGTCTATGCCTGGCTGTCTTCTCCCTCCTATATGCATTAATCTTAATCTTAAGTGTTGTTCAT